CCTTTACTGAGGACTGACCGTTCGTCCTCAGTAAGGGGGAGGTCTGGGGGGATGGTGAAGACTCGGCAGGGTTGGGTGCTGCTGTCTCCTCTGGAGCTGCTGGCTGTGGAGGCGGTGGGCGGAGCAACGTCGACGTCAGTTGTGGGCGGAGTGACGTCGGCGTCGGCTGTGGGCGGAGTTGTGTCGGCTGTGGGCGGAGTTGCGTCGGCTGTGGGCGGAGTTGCATCGGTGTCAGCGGTGGGCGGAGTTGTGTCGGCATCGGTGGTGGGCGGAGCGCCGTCGGCAGTGGGCGGAGTGGGGTAGGAGGCGGCAGCAGCGGCGACGGTAGGTGTGTCCTCAGTGTCTATGGTGTTGGCCTCGGAAATGGAGGTGGTGGCATCAGCAGTGGTGTCGATGGCGTTCGCTGTCCCGGAAGTGGTATACCTGGCGGCGGAGGTGACGTCATCTGTGGGTGCTCTGACAGTGGCCACATGGCCAATGGCGGCGGGCAAATTGCGGGGAAGGTCCTGGGTAGGGTTGGGGATTTGGGAGGTGGAGGAAGCCCATTTTGAGTGGTAGGCACCAGTAAATTTACTGTACTTACGGTTTTTGGTGTCCAATAAAGCTGAGTAGAATTGTGAGTTCAGGTTGTGGATTCTACGAAGAATTAAAAACAGGAGAGGTCCTTTGCAGGTCTGGGAGAGGGAGGCTCTGAGCTGGGGTAGGCTTGATTGTAGTGCCTGGAGATGCTGGCGCATTGCTGCAAGTGTGTGTTTCAGGAGTCGCAGGGAGGAACGCTTCTGAAGGGTATCAATGTTCTGAATGTAGACATTGTCACGGTTGGGGGCCAAATTGGGAAGGCCTGAATGTGGATTGCAGTCCATTGGGGATGATCTGGTTCCGTAGGCAGGTACTAAGAAAGGTGATGTGGCTGTAGTACCTGGTTTGCTTCAGGACGTGGTCGAGCAGTTTCAAGGCTGAAGTTCCCAGTCCCCAAGAAGACTTTCCACATCAAGCAGATGTTCACCTGCACATCTGCTAATGTGGTACACTGCATCCGCTGTTCCCGTTGTGGCCTCCTCTACATCGGGGAAACCAAGCGGAGGCTTGGGGACCGCTTTGCAGAACACCTACGCTCGGTTCGCACTGAACAACTGCACCTCCCAGTCGCGAACCATTTCAACTCCCCCTCCCATTCCACAGATGACATGTCCATCCTGGGCCTCCTGTAGTGCCACAACGATGCTACCCAAAGGTTGCAGGAACAGCAACTCATATTCCACTTGGGAACCCTGCAGCCCAATGGTATCAATGTGGACTTCACGAGCTTCAAAATCTCCCCTCCCCCTACCGCATCCCAAAACCAGCCCAGCTCGTCCCCACCTCCCTAACCTGTCCTTCCTCCCACCTATCCCCTCCCCCCCCCCCAAGCCCCCCCCCCAAAAACTACCTGCTAACCTCATCCCGCCCCCTTGACCTGTCCGTCCTCCCTGGACTGACCTATCTCCTCCCTAACTCCCCACCTACACTCACCTTTACTGGCTCCATCCCCGCCTCTTTGACCTGTCTGTCTCCTCTCCACCTATCTTCTCTTCTATCGATCTTCTATCCGCCTCCCGCTCTCTCCCTATTTATTTTAGAACCCCCTTCCCTCCCCCATTTCTGAAGAAGGGTCTAGGCCCAAAACGTCAGCCTTCCTGCTCCTCTGATGCTGCTTGGCCTGCTGTGTTCATCCAGCTCTACACCTTGTTATCTCAGATTCTCCAGCATCTGCAGTTCCTACTATCTCTGCAGGCTAGGTGATTTGGCGATGGTAAATTGCCTGTAGTGTTGAGGGATATGCAGGAGAGGTGGGTTAGCCGTGGTAAATGCAGGGTTACGGGGATAGAGTAGGGGGCCTGGGTCTATGTGGGATGGTTTTCGAAGGGGCAGTGCAGACTTGATGGGCTGAATGCCCTCTTCCCGCACCATAGGAATTCTATGATTCTAAAAACCATGGTTTGTACAAATTTTATACAATGTGTTAAAAGAAATTGAGGAATGGATGGCATTACTGCTTATACTTAATAATTAATTCGGTGAAGAGCGACTGCCAGAGAACTGGAGGATATCAAATTTAATTCCTAGAACTTAGGAAAGGGACAGAATATGTCCAGGGAACTATAAACTAGCCAGCCTGATGTTTGTGGTAGGAGGAAAATGGTTTTCTTTTTACTAAGGGAGTGGTTAGACATATAATAATACATAAAGAGAAAACCATGCTTATCTAACCTTATTGAATTTTCTGAGGCAGTAATGGAGAGAATAACCATGTTAGTGCAGTTTATCCAGATTTTCAAAGACCTTTGATAAGGTGCCCCATTACAACGAGCAGGATACAAAATATGGATTTCGGTGACAGCAACAGAATGGCCTGATGGAAGGCTTCAAGACTGAAAGCAGAAAGTGGAAGTAAAGCGTAGTTATTCAGAAGGTGGGAAGTAGTGTCTTACAAGGGTGAATGCTGAAATCACTGCTGTTCACAAATTATATTCACAATGTGAGCTTTGGAATCAAAATCACAATTTCTAAATTCACAGGTGATGTCAAATTGGGGTGAGGGTAGTTTAGTTGGTCAATGTTGAGAAGTAATGTAATAAGTTATTGGAGGATGGTTAATAATCTTTCAAAGTGGGTAAATAATTAGAAAATGAAGTTCAGTACTAATAAATATGAAGGACAATAAATATGAAGGGAGGTCTTCTGATCCAGTGGGAAGTGTCTCTGGGCCAAAAGCTCTGGATTTGAGTCCTTTCCCAGAATAGCCAAAGAATATGCATTGATAATCTGGCCAAATAAGTTGATATTGATCTACAAATCCTTCCAACACATGCAAACATTAAGACAGGACAGTTTCCTGATCAGCCATGGGTCGCAAAGAACTACCATTACTACCATGACGGTACCATCAGTATGCATAAATCTGGACAACAACAAAGTTAAAGAGCATGTTCTGTACCAATTCAGACTGCCTGAGGAGCTAGTTGGTTCAGTTGACTGGACAGCTGGCATGTGGATTAGATTGGTAGCAGCAGCACAGGACCTGCCTCCTTACCCTACTTGCATTGGAAATCTTGGTGCTATTTTGTGCTTCGGGCCTCTGATCAGGCAAAGAACCAAGGACAGTGAGGACATTGGTTTGGTAGGAAGAAACAGGGGGTCAAGTCTAGTTAGGATACAGAAACAATGATATTTCAGATAAAAAATACATCCACCATTAAGGATTGCACCACAAATTAGCAAAGCTGTAAAAATAGCAAAGCTTGCACTGGACTTTATTTCTCCTGTGGGTAATTGAAAAGCAAGGAAGCTATGCTAAACCTAATTCAATCTTTGGTTAAATCACACTTTGAATAATGTGTGTAATTCTGGTCACATTATAAAAAGGGTATAGAGGCATTGAAGAGTGTGCAGAGAAGATTTACCAGAGTAATAAACATGGGTATAAATATCAGTAAAAGGACAGGCTGTATTTCTTTTCTCTCAGAAAAAGAAAACAGAAGAGCAAAGATTTGGATATAGTAGATACAGAGAGAATGTTTCGTTTTCTGAACAGAGAACTACCAACATAAAATAGCATTAATAGAAAGATAAGAAATTGGTGAAAATATGAACTTGCTACCACAGACTGTGGTTGAAGTGATTAGTATAGATATATTTAAGTGACAACTAGGTGACTTTAGACAGTAAAGGTGATAGCTGGTAGATTTAGATGAGTTAAAATGGGAGAAGGTTTGAATGAAGTATAAACACCAGTAAAGACTGGTTTGGCAGAACAGCCTGTTTCTGTACTGTATTTCTCATGCATGTAATCCTGCACAATTGGAGAAGCGGAGAGAGCTTTACTCTACCTAAAACATTTGCTGAAACTAAAAGTTCCTAAAACTTCATGCTGAAACTATATGTGCAAGTTTAATTTGTTCCGTTCTCAACAATGCCCCTCCTCCCCACTAAATAGCATATAAAACATGAAAACCAATTTTATATTTTTCTGATTTATTTCTTCAGATTGCTGCAATTATTGTGCATCCCTCCTATGATCCAGTGCTGCTAGATTCAGATATTGCAATCATCAAACTAATGGACAAGGCAAAAATCACCGACCAGGTACAGCCTATATGTCTCCCTGATGTAAAAGATCTATCGACCATGAATACACAGGGGTATGTCACTGGGTGGAGAATGCAGCATGATGCCAATGACTTAGCTCATACAAATGACACAATCCGTGTGGGTACCATTGAAATAGGTGATTCTGTCCAGTGCGAGCAGCAGTATGAAGTTCATGGGATCTCTGTCAGCATCACTGAGAACATGTTCTGTGCCCGTCAGGATCTGAATGGATTCTCAAACATTTGCCCATTGGAGACAGGTGGCGTGGCGACTTTCCCTGCTCCAGACAGGGCGGGCTCTGCTCTCACTTGGTACCTGGTAGGCTTGGTGAGCTGGGGCTATGAGAATGGATGCAGCCAAGAACTTTTCACTGTCTACACAAATGTAACTCCATTCAAAGATTGGATTGAAAAGCACCTGAAATAAAGCTCTTTCCATGATCCAGCACCTCATAAATTCTACAGAAACAGTGGCGTTTGGTTTCAAGTTTGCATCGTCTGAACTATTTAATATGTTTACAGATAACCAGTATTTACAATGTAACTTTAATCACTTAGCACAGATCATCCTTCTTTTCAAACAACTGAATTAATGGTACAGACTGTTTCTAAGGAGATGCAAAGCTAGGCTGCCAAATACAATGATTTCCTAATTCCATTGCAGGAATCCAGTTTGCTTTCCTCCCTTACCCCAAGTCAAGGTTACTCCTCCCCCACTTCAGGGATAAAGTTCATTTCCACATTCCCCAACCCAGGGATCAAAGGTACTCCCTCTTCTGGAATCAATTTCACTTCCCTTTCCCACATCCCCCTCCCCCCAGTAGGATCAAATTTACTATTAAAATGGCCGCAACATAATTGGGTGCTAACCAGTGTTTTAGAAATATCTAGCATAACTTTTTTCCCCTTATTTTCAATACCTTTACAGATGTCTTAAAGCCCAAAATTGTGTATTTATTTTTTTTTTAAAGCCACAGCCTGTCCTCCCAAATTCAAAGATTTGTGTCTAAGACCCCTCAGTTCTTTTTATTCCTTAAACTCTTAAAGTTGAACCATTTATTTCATATTGACTCTTCTAATATTTTTCCATAGGTCATTTTTGTGCATTAACTTTAATCTATCCTGTGACTTTATAGACTGCCCATATCTTCCCTGTGGTCTGTTTATCACACTTCACTACTTAATCCATTTCTGTTTTTTGAGTCATCTGTAAACTTTAAACTTCTAGTAAGTGTCTTGAAAAAAACATGTGACTTGATCAATTTGCGAAATACTTTATTTAATGAATATTTTTGAGGTGTAGATGACTTTGAGTAACACTACTATAACCTGTTTCAACTTCAGGAACCTGTAAAATCTTTCACAGCTAACAAACTGGAGTTGTAATCACTGGTTTAAAGTAGCCTAAATAGCAAAGAAGTTACACACAAAGATCTTGCCAGGATCAATGAGTTGAATAATCAAATAAAATGTTTAGTAGATGTTATGGTTGATATAAATATTTCTCAGGTCACCTGGAAAACTTTTACACACACCAAAACGCAGACAGGGTCTTAGTTTAATGACTCATCCAAAACATGGGATCTCCAACAGTATAGCACTCTTTCACTGCGTGCGAGTCTAGATCATGTGCTCAAGTCTACAAATTTCTAACGCGAGGCAAATTCCAACAAGATAAGCTTGGGTTCTTCAGATTAAACAAAACATGGTGAATTGCATATGATATAGAGCGGAGAAGTGAATGTAAACCCAAAATAATACTTTGCTATAGGACAGGACAGGGAACCATATGTTCCCAGTTTTAAAGGACAAATTTATGACTGGTGGAGGAGTTATTGATTTAGGGGGTGAACAACATCTGGAACGGTTTAGCAGGAATAGCAGTTGATGCCAGAAAATTAACTCACTTATAGATGATCCCGGAAATCTGAAACATGAACAGAAAATGCTGGAAATGTGCAAGAAGTTTAAAGGATCTGTTACTGAAACATTCAGCTACCTTCTCTCCAGGTTTATTGTTTATAATAGTGTTCTCAAGAATTTATGCTTTTTTTTGTTTAACAATAAAATATTTTCTGTACTGGGGAGATAATGGTAAATAAATGAAGTGACTCTAATGTGGACACATTATTGTGAAGCTGACTTCTTACTCCATTGAATAAACCTTGCTCAAGCTAACTATTTGCATAAAATGGGACATTGGTAACATAAAGAACCCAAAACATGCTGCATTGGATTTAAAAACAGACCAGAAGATATAGAAGCAGAATTGGACTGTTCGACCCATCAAGATTGCTCCACCATTCGATCATGGCTGATACATTTCTCAACCCCATTCACCTGCCTTCTCTCTATAACCCTTGATTGTCCTTACTAAGCAAGAATCTATCTATCTCTGCCTTAAATATATCAATGACTTGGCCTCCACAGTCCTCTGCACCAATGAGCTCCACAGATTAACCACCTGCTGGCTGAAGAAATTCATTCTTATCTCAGTTCTAAAGGCCATCCCTTTACTCTGAGGCTGTGCCCTTGGTGCCTAGTCTCTCCTACTAAAGGAAACATCTACTCTACATCCACTTTATCCAGGCCTCTCAGTATTCTGTAAATTTCATTCAGATCCTCCCTTTAATCTTTCTAAACTCCATAGAATACAGACTCAGAGTCCTCAACCACTTCTCATATGAAAAAGTTCTTCATCCACAGGATCATTCTTGTAAACCTCCTCTGGACCGCCTCCAATGCCAACACTTCCTACCTTATATATGGGGCCCAAAACTGCTCATAATATTCCAAATGTGATCTGACCAGAGACTTATGCAGCCTCAGCAGTATGTCTCTGTTTGCATTTTCTAGCCCACTTGAAATGAAAGCTAACAATGCATTTGCCTTCCTAGGCAAATGAACCTGCATGTTAACCTTAAGAGAATCCTGAACTAGGACCCCCAAATCCCTTTGTGTTTCAGTTTTCTGAAACCTTTTTCCTGTCGAGACAATTGTCTACATCTCTGTATTCCTCACTCCAATGTGCATTACCTCTCACCTTCCCACATTGTATTCCATCTGCCACTTTGCCCACTCTCTTTAGCCTGTCCACGTCCTTCTGCAGGCTCCTTGCTTCCTCAATACTGCCTGCCCCTCCACCTATCTTTGTGTCATCTACAAACTTAGCAACAGTGCTCTCAGTTCCTTTGTTCAGATCATTAAAGTATAGCATGAGTAGTTGTGGTCCCAACACAGACCCCTGCAGAACTCCAGCAGTCACTGGCCACCAACCTGAAAAAGACTCCTTTAACCCTACTCCCTGTCTTCTGTTAGTCAGCCAATCCCTCTATCTATGCCAGTGCCTTGCATCTAACACCACTGGCTCTTATTTAGCAGCCTACTGTGTTGGCACTTTTTCAAAGGACTTCTGGAAATCCGATTAGATTGCATCCACTGGCTCTCTTTTGTCTAACTTGCTCTTTCCCCCCTCAAAAAGCTCTAATAGATTTTTCAGGCATGACCTCTCCTTGATAAGCCGTGCTGACTCAGCCCTATTTGACCATGCACTTCCAAGTACTCTGCAATCTCATCTTTAACAATGAACACTAAAATCTTACCAACCACCAAGGTCAGGCTGACTGGCCTAAAGCTTCCCGTCTTCTGCCTCCCTTCTTAAACATTAGCTATTTTCCAGTCCTCTCGCGCCCTCCCTGATTCTAGTCATTCCTGAAAAATCACCACCTCCTCAGCTATTTCCTTTAGAACTCTAGGGTGTAGTCATCTGTTCCAGGTGATTGATCCACCTTGAGATCTTTCAATTCCCCACCGCCTTCTCCTAAGTAATGGCCACCACACTCACCTCTGCCCTCTGACTCTCTTGAAGTTCTGGTATGTTGCTGGTGTCTTCCACTGTGAAAACTGATGCAAAGTATCTATCCAGTTCATCCATCATTTGTTCCCTGTTACTATTCCTCCAGCCTCATTTTCCAGTGGTCCAATTTCCTCTCTTGCCTCTCTCTTACCTTTTAGATATCTAAAAAAGTTCTTGTAATATTCTTTTATTTATGAGCTAGCTTACATTCATATTTCATCTTCTTCCCCATCATTGCTTTTTAGTTATCCTCTGATGGTTTTTAAAGGCTTCCTAATCCTCTCGCTTTCCACTAAACTTCACCACAATGTATGCTTTTGCTTTTATGCTGTCCCTGACTTCCCTTGTCAGTCATGGTTGCCTCATTCTCCCCTTGGTTTGTTTCTTCTTCCTTGGGATAAATTTCTGCTGTGCCTCCCGAATTACCTGCAGAAACTCCTGCCATTGCTGCTCTACCATCTTCCCTACCAGGCTCCCCTTCCAATCAACTCTGGCCAGCTCCTCCCTCATGTCTTTGCAGGACAATCTCAACAAGTCAGGCCCTCCAGCCACAAATGCCAACACAGATACCTGCCCAAATCTACTCGGGCCCCAGGACTGCGTCTTCGACGTGATGCAGAGAAATGAAGAACATGACCTTGTGAGGGCACATAAGCAGCACAGGTATCCCTTCATTGTAAATATATTCTCACATTGGTATGTTCACCGTTCATCATCAGCTGTATGAGCGAATAGTGGTTACAAATCAACTTCAAAAATTAAGGTAGATATCTTAGCCATGCTACTTGACACACAATGTTCTAACCTTGTCTGAGCAATAGTAATCCTTTCCATGGTACCCATCTTAGTATTAGCACAGACATCATGAACGCTTCTATCATTTGTAGCCTTAACTTCTATTAAATAACATGAAACACAGAAAGTTCAAAGTGCTAAACTGCATTAGCAGTTGGGATTACACAAGAGATGTTGGCCTCATCAGCATCAAAAAATTTGCAATTTGCAAGCTGACTTCATGCAACTTAGTTCCATTGAATGACGTTCACAAAAATGTTCTGTCTCTATTGCTTTCACTGATGCTGCTGCACTGGAGGATGCTGACAGTGCTGTTCTATCTAAAGAACATTCTCATCTTTTCCATTTCATTCTCCTAGTTCATCCAGTTTCTCTGACTTTATTGCATATGTTCTGGTGATGCCACTTTCCACCGTGTTGCCTCTAACATGAGTTACCTTATTCTCAACGAACAAATCCCCTCTTTGTAGTGGTCAGCTATTTCTGACCCATCTCCTGCAATTCTATCCTTACCTTTCCCATCCATCCTAAAGTGGCGAAGGGATTCCCCTTGTCCTTACTTTTCACCTCACAAGTCTCAACATTCAAAGGATTATGCTACGTCATTTCTGCCACCTCTAACAGGATGCCACCATGAAACACCTCCCCCTCTCTTCCACTGTCAGCATTCTGCAGGAACTGTTCCCCCTGTGTCACCCTGGTCTACTCTCCACCATTTGTAATGCTTCCTCACTCCCTCTTGGCACCTTCCCATGCAATTGCAGAAGGTGTAACACTTGCCCATTCATCTCACTATCCAAAGCCCTGAACATACCTTCCATGTAAAGCAATGTTGTGTACTTTTTTGCTTGTACTTGTTTCAATCCAGCGTACTAAATTTGCTGCTCATAAGGCAGTCTTCTCACAAGTGACTGTTGCCCACTCTGCTCAGCAACTTCGAGAGACGTCTCCGGTCAGTGAATGAATAGACCCCTTTGCAGTTTCCTAAATGACTTACTGTGTCACCTCCTGCTGTTTGCTCTGGACCTGCCCGACTGACCACAGTAGAGGTATGGACCCCCTTGACCCTGCTGACTGACTGTGTCCAAGCCTGTGGACATATCGTATAATGCCCTTCACTTACTGTCCTGGGACACTCTGGCTGAAGGCTATCTCACTTGGCATAACTGTGGACTAATCCCCTTACAATTTGCGACAGGGCATTTCATTGAAGTGCCTGCAGTGAGTTTGCTGGATACACTACTGTAGGTGTAACATTGAAGTAGTGTAGTTCCATAGAGCAAAGCGTCCAACATCTTGACTGATCACTGCTGACAAACATGACCAACTGCCTGGTCTTGTGGTTTCCACTAAAAGGCAAGGCAAAAGTGGGATGTTAGAATCGCTGGCTGAGCCAGCATTTATTGCCTGTCCCCAGTTGAACCTTGAGAAGGTGGTGTTGAGCTGCCCTCTTGGACTGCTACAGGCCAGCTGCTGCAGCTTCACCACAATGCCATTAGGGAGAGAATTCCAGGATTTTGACCCAGTGACAGTGAAGGAACAGTGATATATTTTTGAGTCAGGATGGTGAGTAGCTTGGAGGGGAACTTGCAGGTGATGATGCTACCATGTGTCTACTGCCCTTGTCCTTCTAAATGGAAGTAGTTGTGGGTTTGGAAGGAGATGTTTGAAGATCTTTGGTGAATTTCTGCAGTGCGTCTTGTAGATAATATACACCGCTGCTACTGAGTCTCAGTGGTGGAGGGAGTGGATGCTTGTGGATGTGGTGCCAATCAAGCAGAGTGGTGATGGGGGATGGTGTCAAGCTTCTTGAGTGTTGTTGGAGCTGCACTGATCCTGGGAAATGGGGAGTATTCCATCTCACTCCTGACTTGTGCCTTGTGGACTGGCTTTGGGGAAAGTCAGAAGTCACACAACACCAGGTTATAGTCCAACAGGTTTATCTGAAATCACAAGCTTTCATAGCGCTGCTCCTTCATCAGGTGAAGTAGACGAAAGTGCACAGGCACAGAATTTATAAGCGGAAAGATAATGGCAATATTTTAGATAATTGAGAGTGTCAAAAGATAAATACAAATAGTGTGAGTGGAGTGTCAACAGGGCTGAATAACAAGTCTTCGCAGGTAATCTGAAGTGTCAAACCGTGTGATAAATTGTCAGCAGCTGAATGGGATGAGCTATGATCCAATTAATAAGGCAGAGAGATAATTACAAAAAGTCAAAAATAAGATGGTGCTGGAGACAAACCAAACGGCTGGAATGACATGATAGGTATGAGTCACGTGGCAAGGGTCTAACCAAAGTAACAAGTAATCCAAAATTGTACAAAGTAATTAAGGTAGAGAAACAATAACAAGTTATCAAGGTGATGGCGTTTTGACACCTGTGTTTAGGATTGGTCATTGTACTCTGCATGTTAACATGGCTCTCCAGCTGCTCCATTACTACTGGTGGCAGCAGGATGA